ATGCGCACATCAAAACAGACTGCCTTCATACAACCCAACCCACAACTCCCACCCCGCAACCATAGCCAGTCCATAGCCTTAGCTTTAATAAGTATTGAGTTTTGATGTTATCGAGGGATATCTTAAAATTTGAATCGATAAGATTTTAGTTTTTTTATAATTTGGGCAACATATTTTGTTATTTCCTTAAATATTGTTGGATTTATAACACTAACTGTATAATACAAAAATAACTAACGGATTTCTTTATCATTAATCTGTTTAAACTAAGAAACTTAACCTGAATCACTAGTGTATTATTTAACTAAAAGTTTACGTTTTTCCTAAATGTTCAAAACATTTCAAATATACATATAATTTAGTTCACCAGAGCAAAATGTTGCATAGTTTGTTAAACTCAAATGCTACAAATGCTAAACAGCTATAGGTCGAGTTATGGAAGTTCAACCTTAATGGGAAGCCGGGCTCGGAAATCTTTCCGTTCCCACATCGTCATGTGCCGCTATAAGCAAATAGCTCGCCCCGCGCTCGGTTATTGTTGTTGTGGGTGTTTGCATTCAAAGTTTTCACCATGAGGGAGTGAAAAATAACTAAGCCAGCATGGGAAACAGCGAGAGACAAGCCACCATATCGGCGTCATCTCGAGCTTCTTCCCATCCACAACCATATCCACCAACTAAGAAACTAAGAGAGCGCAAGAAAGATCGGGTGGTGCCTAGTGCTGGCGCTGGTACTGGTGCGTCTTCAATTCAATTCATTTTTATTATGATGAGCAGACCGCGGCTGCTTCTACTTCTACAGCGTTGAACCCCAAGCTCGACGCTGGTAATTTTTTTTATTATGCCTCATCGTCGTCTTCGGGCCGCGCGCTCTTTTTTATGTTTCCAAAGTTTCGTCTTCCTCTTTGGCCCGTACACTTAAATTGCTTTGGCGGAGATCGCGGCTTAAACCCAAACCCAAACGCAAACCCAAACCAAAACCCAGTTCGAAAACCAAAACTCGGCTTTTTGCTTCTACTTGTTATTTTTTCTTGACGTTTTTTCTTCGCCGCTCGTTTCGCTGGTATCGCACGTTGTGTTGTGCGCCCCAGCCGAAGAATTCAAAGTGGGGCCCCACAGACCAGAGCAGACCCGCTCCGACCGGAGTGGATCGGGCCAGAGTCACAGCAAGAGCCAGAGCCAGAGCCAGAGCCCGAGTTAAACCCAGAGTCATAGTCAGAGTCAGAGCCACAGCGACATCAACTGGAGGTAGCGACATCAACAACGGCGACCGACTTAAATGCTTGCAAGCCGACTCTCGAGCACAGTGGCATGGAATGGGTTTTAATGAAGGAAAAATGTGGGTACGGGTGTTGAGTTTCCATGATCTTAGAAAAGAAAAGCAGATGGCAAAGAAATGAGCACTTATTAAATACTTAAGTTATTAAAAGTACAATATATACATTTAATAGATTTGAAAAGATTTACAGATATTATTTTAAAAAAAAGTTTGTATAAATAAAAAATAGGATGAAGTAATGACTTATGCGTTCGAAAAAATGGGGAAATATTTTCAATTGCTTTGCTCAACACCTTAATAAGAACATAATGTTTTAAAACAAACATTATTTAAAATAATATCGTAATTGTACTTGGTATATGCCAATGAGCAATTGGACCAGGCAGATGAGACAACTCATGCATTTATAAAAACAAGATCACTGTCTATTTTAAGAGTTTTACTTATTGTTTCTTTAGTCTGTAAGTTTTACTGTGAGCTTAGCAATATGGAGACCATTTTTAGCTCTATTCCGACCCACAGTAAACCCCAGCGGACGACGACGTTTCGTTGTTGTTGCCGTTGTCCCGGGCCCTGGCTCTTAGCTCTTGGCTCTGGCTTTCGGGTAAACATTTCGTTTCGTGTTGCTGTTGCTGTTGGCGTTGCTGCCGTCGACGATGACTGGCTCCGGCTCTCAGGTTGGGTTGGTTTCTGTTTGCTGGCTGACTGGCTGCCTGGCTGCCTGGCTGACTGGCTGCTTGGTTGGCTCATAACCTGAAACTTGAATATTGTGGAATTTGAAGGTAGCGACGATGTTGCTGTTGTTGGCTGTTGTTACTGCAGCAGCAGCAACAGCAGCAGCAGCAGCAGCAGCAATAGCAACTGCAGCGACGCTGCGTGCGAGCTTTAGACCCGGGCCGTCAATTTGGAGCCAGTCCGAGTTGGAGCCGGAACCCCACACCCCATGCCCCTCGCACCGCCAAATGCTCCTCCTGCTTTTCAGTTTTCAGTTTTCAGTCCGCTTCCAGTGCCTGTGCCAGCTGAAACGAGTTGCTGGCGAAGCGTAAAATGCTGCTGCTATTGCTGCTGTTGCTGTTGTTATTGCTGCGCTAGTGTTGCTGTTTCTGTTGCTGTATATGTTGCTGGTGGGTAAAAAGCAACGAACGCTTGACGGGAGACTGCTTTTGTGTTGCTGCGGTGCCTGGTTGCCGTTGCCGCTTGAAACTGCCTGAGTGATGTTGGTGTGGCAATAAAATACAACTTCCAGCAACATTGCCAGCGAACGCAGCTCGAAAATCATCATCATCAGCTAGTCAGCCAGTCCCAAGATGATGGCCAGCATTGTATAAATGTTGTTTCTGTTGCTGCGGCTTATAATGATGGCCAGCCAGCATTTCTCCATTCGAACGAAAATTAGCGTAGAAAGTTTTATTTTTTTCTTTTTTTTTTGTTATTGTTGTGTGTGGAGGTTGATTTTGATGTTGATGTTCGCTTTGGTTTTCCCGTTGCGAAGCTCTGTTGATGCGATTTGATTTGATGGGAGGTGAGAGCTTTTAGATGATTGGTTTTTAGTGCAGCTTTTAAGCGCACACGGCGTATGCGCAACGAGCTTCGGCCGTATTACACATACGACCAGTTGTCAACAGAACAATGAGCAATGAGTGCGCGGCTCGCCTTTAAAACGACGATGATAAGAATGAGTCAGCCCAGTCAGCACAGCACAGCCAGCCCAGGAATGGGAAATGGCAGTAAGATTGTAGTGGGATTGAGGCAAAGGCAACCGATTAACCGATTCCGAGAAGGGAACTTCTCGCTGCGGCCAAAGACGCTGTTCCCAAAAGGGCGAATCATCCGTACCGATGGGCCAGCATGTCTAGACTCGCTCCAGCCCCTATACCAAAAATAAAACCGAAAATACAGCTGCAGACGCGAACGAGTTCGAAACGAGGGATGAAATGCGATGATGAGACATGCGGCAGTGGCAAACTCAGCGACAGACAGGCAAACAAGGGAAACGGGGCAGGGACAGGGGAAGGGCCATGGGAAGGGGCAGGGTTTGGTGGTAGAAAAATGCGAAACACATGCGACTCAGCGACGACGACGACGACGACCAACGACCGACCTCGATGACGATAACACAGAGAACACAGCGGACCGAAAATGAAACGAAAACTCACCCTCTGGTTCGGGTTCGGGTTCTATTCTGTCGCACTCGTACTCGTACTCGTATTATATTCCCCCAATGCTGAAGGCAACTGCAGCAGCAACTTCATAAGCAACATCAGCGGCATCAGCAAATATGCGAGCATATGGCAACCCTTATGGATGTATGGATTTGACAAAGGCCGTTCCTCGGCCGACGTACGTTGCACAGATGTTCAGAACTCAACGCAGTAGGGAAAGTCGCGGCGAAGGGCACTGAAGTTGGGCAGCTTGCCGGCAATTGGAGGGTGGCAACTCTTAAAAAGGGAGATTTCGGCAAGATGTGAGTGGGAAATCCACAGAATGATTCAGCGATCTATAGACATACACTTAGGTCGAGGGTGGTGACAGTTTTTCCTTTGAGACTTAAAGCCTTTCAAAGCTAAAGTTTGATATTCGTTATTGATTATATTACAATTAAAATATCTTAAGATCATTTAAAATGTTCATGAAATTATTAAAATAATTTTTTAAATGCATAAGCAACCAGTGTCAAATTATTTGAATTAAATTAACACAATATGCTTTTTAAGAACCACCAAAACTATAATAAAATCTTAACTAGCTTCAGATTTTTAATAATTCATATTATGAAGGTAAACTACAGACTATATTTTTTTTAGTACTTTGCAATGTATATTTAAGGCACACAGTGCCTTCCGGGAAATTCTTTCCTGGCATTGTTCCGTTCCAGTGTTGATCCAAAATCATGACTGGAGCAGAACTCGAGAAACCAAAAATAGTTTCGTAAAAGAAACGGAGAGGAGTCGCCCACTAAATGTGGCGGAAGTTGATGGGAAAGAGCCAGCAGAAGAAGAGCATTCTGAATGGGAAGACTACGACTACGGCTACGACTACGGCAATCGACGCAGCCCACACGATTCTCGGGACCCCGAGACCCTCTCTCCTTACGTCGCTGTGTGTTTTATTTTAAGAAGATTTCGAGCAGCGTCGATGAGCAATGCCAACAGTTGATAGAGGGTGGGGTGGGTGGTTGGGTGGTAGGATGGCAGGGTGGCATGGCGGCAAGTGTGGGCGGAGATGGAGAAGGAGGGTGGCTGGGTGGCTGACTGACTGACTGACGGACAGACAGCCTCGACTTGGCCTGGCTTGACTGTTGTTGCTGCTGCCTGGCATTTTCCATTTCATTTTCATGGCTCGAGAGTGGGTGGAAGTGGAGGGAACTGCGAGGGTGGTTGAGTGGGCGAAAGGGGGAGTTCAAGTCCCTGGCTGACTTCCATTTTCTTGATAAGTTTTTAGCTGGCTCTGTGTGTCCTTTGTTGGCTCGTGCGAACGGTGCGGAAATTTATGATGCACAGAGGGAAAAATCGAAACGAAATGTATGCATAAAGAAAATTATTTAAGGTATCTTAAATGTTCGAAGTTTAAGCAAGGTTATTTAAAAAGTTAGTTTAACTTTTTTGAACATTTTTTTTCTCTCTGTATACTTGTATCCTGTGCGCTTTTCAACTTCTTTTGTAACTTGATTTTCATTTTGGCGGCAAATCACTAAATGTATTTTCCACTCCTTCCGATTGCAGGTGAATTCCGCGATGGGTCTTCAAGCAACAGCCGCTACCAAGCGGAAGCATGAGCTGACCTTCGACAGCAAGGATGCCAACACCACCTACACGGGCAACTGTGCCCCGCCCCCCGTCAAGGCCAACAAGTGGGCCATCAGCAACAACAACTACCTAGAATCGCTCGAGGACCAGCAGCAGCAGCAGCCGCAGCAGCCGCAGCAGCAACAACAGCAGCAACAGCAGCAACAATCGACAACGGAGCCAGCTATCGAGTCCAACAACAACCACATTGTGTTGGATGCATCGATGGATGCGATGAAGCCAACGGAGCCCAGTATTAGCAATGGTCATGAAGTTACTACCCTGAAGAGTCAAGCGGAGGTGCCGCTGCCGCCGACGGCAAGTGCGGCGATTCCGGAGGACAGCATCGCGCGGCTGGAAGTGGTGGCCGCCTCTGCCGTGCCCTGTGAGCCCTGGACGGGCAATGGGTCCACGACTCCCTCGGCGGTGGCCGGAACCGCCAGTGGATCCGCCAACGAACCCGTCGACTGCATCTCCAAGCTACAGGCCGTGGCCGTGCCCAGTGATCCTTGGGGCAGCATTGCCACCCGATCCACGCTGGCCACCACTCTCCTCAGCGCCGATGAGCTGGACGACGACGATGATGACTTCGAGGACGACTACGAGGAGGAGGAGAGCATCATCCCCACCTACTGTCCCATGCGCTATCATCCCTTTGTGCCGCACCCGCACCCCCATCCGCACCAGCTGCCGCCCCATCCCCACCAGCAGCAGCAACAGCAACAGCAGCAGCAGCTGTCCCAGCAGCAACCACATCCCCAGCAGCAGCAGCAGCAGCAACAACAACTCGCCCAGCAACAGCATCCGCAGCAGCAAAGGAGCTATGCCCCGGGCTATGGCAACAGGCAGCCCAACTACTACTCGGAGCCATTCCCGCAGCAGAATTGCTCGCGGACCGGAGGACCACAGCACATGACGCAGTCGCCGCCGACGCCGCAACAGGCGCGTGGTTTTGCACCACCCCAGTGGGCGACGGCGGGCAGCAGTCCGGCCAATCCCTCTTCGGTGGGAGTGGGCGCCCAGCAGTTCTACGAGGCGACCAACGGAGGAGCCTATGCCCCGTCAGCGGCGCCACAGCAGACGATACGTTGTGCGGAGAACGGCAAGTCCTATATGGATCTGGGCTGCAGCAGTGGGGCATCCGGTGCGGCCGGAGCTTCGCCCATCAGTCCGCCGCCCTCGTCGGCGCCCGTCGTTCCGTTCGCCGGCCTGCCCTTGCATGGCCTGCCCCTTAAGCGCTGCTGCGATGGCCGAGCCGGTGGCTGGTGCAGTGCCAACAGGAGCTGCTACAAGGACACGCGGCTGAAGATACGCAATCTGTCCATGTTCAAGCTCTCCCGCTTTCGGCAGGTGTCCGAGCAGTCGCTGTACCGCTCCGTGCTCATCTGCAACACCTTGAAGCGGATCGATCGCGAGATCGAGGCGGAGGCCAAGGAGTTGCACCACGCGGCACAGCAGCATCACCAGCAGGCGGCGGCAGCAGCAGCTGCAGCAGCAGCGGCAGCAGCACAAGCGGCGCAATACCACCCAGCTTACCAGCAGCAGCAACAGCAACAGCAACAACAGCAGCAGCAGCAGCAATCCCCGCCAGCGCCACTCCATCCACATCCCCAGCAGCAGCAACAGCAGCAGCAGATGGACTATGCGCCCGTTTTGAACTGTGCCCGTTTGGCCAACATGGACCACTACCAGCAACTGAGTTTCCAGCCCCAGCAGCAACAGCAACAGCCACCCAGCCAACCGCATGGCTACCATGAGCGTTTGGAGAGCCAGCCCGCCTACAGGGGCGTGGCAGTGGCATCGGGAGCGGGCGGCTTCAGCACGCAGCCCAGCAACTGTGATACATCGGCGGGGGCAAGCAGCAATGCCAGCGGCAACAGCAACAACTCCCCAGCGACAGCAGCAACGGCAACGAACGGCAGCAGTAGTTTGCATCCCTACGATCACTACCCCTTTCGGGAGCTGCAGTCGGGTCGAGCCACGCCCTTTCCCGCCTGCCCCACCACAACAGCAGCAGCGGCAGCAGCTTCGGCGGCAGCAGCAGTAGCAAGCGGAGGAGATGCAGCAGCAGCCAGCCTGAGCAACAACAGCAACATCAGCAGCAGTTCCCCCGCCACCAGCAGCAGCAGCAGCAGCAGCAATAATACCAGTTCCTCCTCGCCGGTGATGAGCAGCAGCAGCAGCAACAGCAGTGGGAACACGTCGAGTGCCAGCAGTGCCAGCACGCCAGTTGCCCCTGCCGCCAGCAGCAATAACTGCGATACCAGCGATTCGGGCTATGCGGACGACGACTCCACGCGATCCATCAACTGGAGCTCGGTGCTCAGCCTGAGTTCGCAATCGGCGCTGGATCCGCTGAACAACAGCGATCTGTTTAGCATACTGCCGGCGGCGGCCACGCCCACAGCGGTGCCGGTTTCAGTGCCGGCAGCAGCCAGCAGTTCAAGCTCATCCGCGGGATCGACCCTGGCCTTCAGCGGCAGCTTCACCACCGTGCAGGCGAACAGCAGCAGCAGCAGCAGCTCTTGCGGCGGCAGCAGCAGTTCCACCACCGCCACCTTCACCACCCTGTCCACCATCTCGTCGGCCACCCACTCGCTGACCTCGTCGTATGTGAGCAGCATCAGCTCGAATGTGTCGGCGGGCGCCAATACCTGGGAGTACGGATTCCTGGACATGGAGTTCGGCCTGGGGTCGGAGTTCACCGAGCTGGTGCCCAGCTGCAAGCTCAGCTCCGAGGATCTGTTCAAGAGCGGCCTGGGCGGCCAGGTGGTGGCCGCCTCCCGCTTGCACGACAACGAGCTGGAGCAGCCGGCCCACATCATGGTCGGCAGTTAGTATCAGTTGTAGACGACGGATCCCCAGCGGAGGGCGGCGTGCTGGTCGCGTCGCCTGCTGGCGCCCACTAGCAATTCCAAGCAGTATTGAGTCGACGAAACGAGGGAGGGAAACGGGGGATCTTAAATGCTAATTATGCTCAGGTTGTGAACGTGCATGAATGAATTAACATACATACATATGTCCCTAATCCTTGGTCCTATTCCCCCACACAAGCAATCGAGGACACACAAATTAATTGCAATCTATAAGGAAATCCGTAACTTAGTGAGAGATCGAAGAAAAGGCAGAACAATGATTATGACAAATGAGCAAGCAAAACTATTAGAAAATTTTTGTAAGTGTAAATATTGTTAGTCGTAAGGCAGAGCAGCGAACTCCTAGCCAAGTAAGTTTGAAACGGAAGCAAAACAAAAATTCTATATTAGCGTAACTTTAGCTTTGTTAGTTGCAATTTGTTAGTTGCAGTTTTTCGATTCCACACCACACAACAACAGCGTCAAAAGAAACGAACAACAAACAACAACAGTTTAGACATTTTTCAAAACAACCAAAACCAGATCAATTAACAAAATTTACGTTTTGGCCTAAAGACGATGCAGCATTTGGCGGCTCAACAAAATTTATGAAAAATCGAAAAACGTTTACTATATTACTAGCCATAAGTATTATTATTTATATACAAAAACCGCAAAACAACAAACAAAAGAAAGAACAACTTAAAACAAAGTTTTATTAAAGAAAAAACAAAGAAAAAAACCAACAAAAAGAACAAAAAAAAATTAAAAATGCAAGCAAATATAAAGAATTTGTTAAAAAAAATTACAATCTCTTTGAATTTTTTCGGGTTATCTGGGAGTTCTATTTTACAGCCAATTAATGTGATGAGCGTTAAATAGGCCCCGGTGACTTAGCGACGATGGGGAAAGTATGGAGTTTGGCAAATAATATTTAGCTTAAATTAAATTTGTTCAATGATTACTTCAAAATAATTCTTACTAATCCACCATTGGTGACCACAATGCGTGCTATGGAAAATGGCTGGGTCCTTAAACAACTAATTTCGGATAAAGTATTTAGTTAATATTTCCGTCAGTTTTCGAAGAGAGTATGTTTCTTTTGAAGAAATTCACAATTAAATTACTCGAAGAGAAAAATCAATACAAGTCATAAAAAATTTGAAAACATCGTTGCGAATTATTTACGAGCAATGTGTATTATAAAACTTGTGGCGACATCTGTATAATTTTTGTATAAATACAAAACAAATGGTTGAAGTCTTCGATAAAGTTACCATCATGTAAAAATAGTTTCCGCTACACGAACAGATGGCGCTACAAGTGATTGCTCTTCATTTAAGCAGAGCTCTCAACCAAAATGCTTTTTGATTTCCTCGTATATGTTTTAGTATTTTTTATTCGCTAGAAACAGCTATAAACTGACTTACGAGCGCAACAAGTGCTTGGCTCTGTTTCCGGTTAACAGTTCAGTTAACAGTTAACATTTAGTCCTAACATCAGCCTGTATTACATTTAAGGGTTAACAGTAAGCAATACTTTGGAGTTGCAAGACTTACATGTGTCTGATAAACTTAACATTGGAAAGACTTGCTTGTAGCGGTTAACAGAGTACTTTTTATGTTGTTAACTATGAAAGAATTACAATTAACGGGTAACGGTTAGCAGAAAGTGAGACCGTACGAAAACGGTTGAAAAATCTTCAGCTTTCATCATTTTTGAGTGGTATTTTCGCCACGGTCCCACACTCGCTAAAGAGCGCAACAAGTGATTCTGATTTTCAAAACAAATTCTCTCTTCGGAACGGAACGTGAGAGGACGTGTGCGGACGCGTCGCTGCCGGAAAAATAAGTTGCGTCGGCGTTGCGACGTTGTTGTTTACGTGTTAAATAAAAGTGTGTGCGGCGAGAAGGGCGCGCTCTTCTATGTGTTGGTGTTGTTGTTCGTTCTCAGCGTGTGTTTCGAAATACCGCATTGTTTAATTACAGCATTACAGCCGCCGCGGCTTATTTTCAATGCAAACAAGGGCTAGTCTGTAAACGATATTATGCTTAAATAGATAATTGCCAAAGGTAAATAAACCAAGAAGAGGAAAATAAGTTATGCAGCGAGGTTGCGTCGGCGCAGCAGCGATTGTTTGTGTGTGTGTAGTGGTCTGTCTGGTTTTTATTTTTTTGGGCGCTGTGTGTGTGCTCATGTTTGCAAAGCAGCAATTTAATTGATATTTAATTTTAAAAGCAGTTCAATTGCAAACAATTACAAGTGTGTTATTTGCTTTCGATTGCATTTGCATTGGAGTGCGTAATTACATTTTTGAGCCACAAAACACAAACAGTGTAACTTTTGCTGCACGGAAACAAAAAGTGCTAAGAAAATATTATAAATTTGTTCATTTTACCCAACTAAAAGTTCAATTTTATTTTTCAAACTTTTAAGTAAGTTAATAAAATAATATTTAGTAAGCTGAAAAAAATAACACTTTATTAGGCAGTGTTAAGTTTTGAACTAGGATTTCTGTTATTTTAATTTACAATATTTATCTATGAAAAGGTTTTACAAACTGTTTTTATCAAAAGATCGATTTGATCTGCGAATTTTGATTTGATATGAGTTCACTTTATTTTCTCAGCAGTGTGTAAATGGCGTAATCGTAATCTTTGTGCCCCCTTTTTAATGATTTAATTAAAAGCGTAAATTGCAGGCCGAAATTCAATTTGTCCGTTTGACTTTTCAGTCCGTGTGGGTGGCTCTTTGACATTGAGCTTATGAATGTTGTTGTTGTTGCTGTTGCACAAACTTGCACACAAACACATATAGTAATTAAGTACGTGCGTCGCGTGCCGTTTTGAATTTTCTTTTTCCTTCTGCTTTGACTCGGAAAATGTTCTCTTCTCACTGCGCGTGTATTTGCATTTCCATCAACTCGAAATTCGAAACGTATAATACAATAAAAAATCCAAAAACCAGTTGACCGTGAGATAATTCAAGCATAATTGCTAAATAGCAACAAAAAAATGTGAATGATTGAATTGCTGAAATATTTAGTGTATGTGTATTTCTCTCTCTTCTCTACGTATGTTTAAGTATGTGTTTGTTTCTGCCCTTCGTCAATGAATAACGGCAGTTTGCGAGGTGCGAAGTCGAAGAAGAGCAAACAACAACAAATTGCCATCACCTTTGTCAGCAGCAAAAGCAAAAGGCCAGAGAAAAAGCCAAAAAGCAACAACTAAGCCGGCATTGAAGGCAAGAAAGCCGGAAAAAACAAAACGCAACTGCGACGTCAGCAGAGCCGAAGAAGAGGAGCCTTGGTGGCCACATTCCAGCGTCATCAGCAGGCGGAGGCCGTCGCAGCCGCCAAACCCGGGTCACCAAAATTCTTTCTTTCTCCCCCCCAGAAAAAGTTGAAACATCAGCAGCAGGTAAGTCAACGTTGAAGGTACAGAGAACACTCGGTCCATAGGAACAATCGGAAAAATTAATAAAAAAAATTATAACTTTGCTGTTTTTCAATTTTTTTTTATTTCTTCGACATATAAAAATGTTTAATTATTTCAGAATTACGGTTTAAATTTCATAAAAATCGGACGACTATATCATATATGTAGCTCCCATAGGAACAATCGGAAAAAAATGAAAAAAAAATTATAACTTAGTTGTTTTTTAATTTTTTTCTTAGTTCTTCGACATATAGTATTGGTTAATTATTTCAGAGTTACGGTTTAAATTTCATCAAAATCGGACGACTATATCATATAGCTCCCATAGGAACAATCGGAAAAAAATGAACAAAAAATTATAACTTAGCTGTTTTTTAATTTTTTTCTTAGTTCTTCGACATATAGTATTGGTTAATTATTTCAGAGTTACGGTTTAAATTTCATCAAAATCGGACGACTATATCATATAGCTCCCATAGGAACAATCGGAAAAAAAAGAAAAAAAATTATTACTTAACTGGTTTTTAATTTTTTTCTTAGTTCTTCGACATATAGTATTGGGTAATTATTTCAGAATTATGGTTTAAAATTTATCAAAATCGGACGACTATATCATATAGCTCCCATAGAAATAATAAAAATATATAAAATAACTATCAAATAATTGAGCTGCAAATCATCATAGCTTCAATGTTTTTAAACATATACGCAAGTAAATCATAATTTCAATGTTTACAAAAATTTTTAATTTTTGCAATAGCTGCAAGGGTATATGAAAGTTGCCAAAGTTTGCTTTCTTTCTTGTTTAAGAATACTTTTTGAAGATAAAATCGTTATTGTTTTTATAGACTTATTGTTGTATTAAGTGGTTAAAAAAGCTTAACAATTTGCAATTTATCATTAGGCCATTTGTCTACTTTGACTTACGAGTACTTAAGTAAGATAATCTAATCTACTTAAAAAATATATTTTCTTGATATTTAATTGTCTTAAAAAGAAAGAAAATCTGAAGCAACCAGAAGCAAAGCTCTCGAGAGACTCAAAACATAATAAGCTTACTAGCGGTTTTCAATTCTAAAAGAAAAAAGTTTTCTTTAACAAATGAATTATTTAACAACTTCGGTAATTTACTATATTGACTGCATGTCAGAAAATTCTTTGAGCCCTTTCCATACTGTATATAGTAAGTACATCAACGTCTATGTTGTGCCTGCCATTCTTTTGGTGATTCGCCTTCCTCCTTGGTGTTGTTGCTGTTGTGTCACGCCCTCCGCAGTCAGGCGGGTCATGGAAAACATTTTTGCGTAGAAATTACATATTGTTTCGTTTTCACATCCCAGCAACCCCCCGCCCACCTGCCACGGTGTTTGGTAGCTTGGATACTGGCGGCTTACCCCTTTCCCCGATTCCGGGACCGGGCCTCTTGTATTTTTTTGGGTCGTCATCCATCGTTGTTCTGCCAAGCGCTTCTGCAAAACCCCCGGCTCACCGCCTCCTCCTCCCGCATTAACACAGGGCATCGCTTTCTGCTCATCAAAGCACAAAAACATCCAACGGCGGCTGCCTCAATTATGTTAATTATGAATTGCTCCCCGGCTGTCTGTTCGAGTACGGGTTTTTGTTTGGTTGTGTGTTTAAGGGGGCCCCAAGTAAAGCTGGGAGCGCAAGGCAAGTCAAGCGGTTAAGTGGGCTTTTGGGTTATCACCTGGTGAGGTCGAAGTGTAACCTTAATTTGAGAGCATTTCGGAAAATTGATTTGAGCCATTGCCAAAAATTAATAGTCTATAAACCTTATTTAAGACCCTGTCGATGCCATGGCAATGAACTTCTA